GCGAACAAGCTCCCGAGACGGTCGTCTAGGTCGGCCCGTTTCCTTGCTCGTCGCGGTGGCTCGCCGTGCACGCTGCGTACGCGGATCGTCGCACCATCCTCACTGCCCGATCCTCCTACGTGCGGCCAGTGAATCACGGCCCGCGCCTCCTCTTCCTACACGCGGACTCTTGTCGGTCTTAAAATATTCACTAGACTTCGCGAAACTCTCGCGCGCGAACCTGGCCGCGACCACCGCCGAAATGTGGAACACCGGCGATCGTGTTCCCCTGCGGTATACGGTTGGCTGACCTCGCGCGGATCGCCCGGAACGAACTGGACAGCTCGCGAGGACCAGCGGAGAGAGATCGTACGCCGGATCGCGCGATCGGCGAGAATGCCCGAAACCTCGGTTGATCGGGATACTGACGCTCTAGCCACGCTAGAGCGCGAGCGCTCGAGCTCTAGCCGAGACGCTCGAGGCTAGCTGGCTAGGAGCTTCTATTTTTACCATGGGGTGGCGAATTGTTCCCCACACCGAGCCGCGGCCCACGAGGAGGCAGCTCGAGCGGCCCGAGAGGTTCGCCAATGCGACCGGGTTCAAAACGTTTATAAATAGGAGGAGTTCTCTCGCGGTGCGCGCCGAAAATCGGCGACGATTTGCCGGAATACGGAGTCGGCCACGACTTCCGACACGGACCTGCGAGAGGGAGGAGCTGCGCTTCTCTTGGACGCGAGTCGCCAGACTGCGGATGTTTCTACGTTTATGATGTATCGATATGTGCCAAGTATACGCAAATCGTGTGATCTGTGTCACCGACGGACACGTCGGACTCACCGACCAGGCGCTTCTAATACGCGGACTTTTGGGATTTCGAAAATTCGCCAGCGTGTCGCCAAACCAAATTTCCAATTTTCTTCTTCTGGAAATTGGCTTTCCAACCGTATATGTACTCCCACATAGCTAATTTAATTTGACTAATCACGGAAACAGCCGATGCAGTTCCTTTTCTGCGAAGCGAAAACGTACAAAGTTTTAACTTATACAAAATACTAAATCACCCCAGTGTCGAATAAGACAGAGTCAATAATCTCTATGTAGAAATTATATACCGTCATAAAATCGCGAATGGATTTTTGACCCCAACCGATCGGACGTAGATCGTAAAACGCGAATTACCATCGAGACACGATAAACCGTGAATGTTTCTGGAAGTCCATCAAAACAAGCAGTGAATAAATAATTGATCGAGTTTCAACCGATCGATTTGCGACTATCGCTCTGGCTATAGACGCTGGGCGTCTATACGGTTGCATTTTTGATGCTGCACCGCGATATCGGTCAGTTACTTTTCCCTTCGAACGTAAAGTAGGTTCCGTTGCATTCTTTAGCGTGTATTCGTTCGATCATTTTCAAGGAACGTTCGTGTCAACGATCTGTCAACGAAAAAAAGCATCAATAGCTTTTCTGCGTAGAGAACGAGAGGAGCTTGAAACGTGACCGATGGAAACGGGGCGATGAGTCGCTGCTTCTCCTTGGGCGTTTTTATATAACAGAAATCAATTAATCGATCATCCGATATCGTGGCACGCAACCACGGGAAATAATCACGCGTTCCCTTCCCCGACGATCCACGACGGCAGAAAAAGAAAGAGGCTACAAAGCGCCACGGTACACCCTCATTATTAAAATAACTCGCCGCGAGGACGCTCGCGAACGATCCGAAGCATAACTCTGCTTCCCGAAAACAATTCCTTCGTCATGTTCGAACGTTTCGTTAAACCAGTGATAGCCAGAACGAGAAATTCGTAAGCAACTCACGGCCAACTCCGAACACGGGCCGGGCTGCTACGGGAGAAATATTTCATTTCGTATTTCCCTATTCTTTTTCTCTACTTAGATATTCGCTAATTTGGAAATTTGCAAACGCGTTAATTGGATCATTCAGTAATTTGAATCCGAAAGAAGTATAACTAATGCACTTGCACGTGCGATACGCGTATACATCACCCACGAACGAGGTCAGCGTTCCACTCCGAAGAGATGTAAAATAGTATCAATCTTCCTCCGGGCTTATTTTGCACGAAAAATATTAAGAGATCAGCTAAAAGTTAGAGCAACTATCTTGTAAGAAGAGTGCTAATATAGGCATAGAAAGTTCCAACGCGTATCCGAACTCGACGTAACCGATGTAAATCCACGTGTGATGCACGTACCCCTATCTGGGTCAGCATTCGACCCCGAACAGACGAATTCAACATCCACGAGGCTTTCCGCAGGGAAACAGCGATCTTAGCAAATTCGAAGACTATAACTTTAAAAAGATCCAAAGTCTCTCTTAAACCGACATAAACGATGCACCACCACGTGCGATGCGCGTACTCCGAACGAGGTCAGGATTCAGCCCCGAATATCTAAAATGACCCTCGCGACCGTCGAAGAGCGTAGCGAAGATCGAAACCCGCGAGAGAGTTACATCACGAATGCCATAAAAATTCCATGGAGCTGACGGGAAGGTTCACGGTGTGTCCCAACGACCCAAAAATACGTACGAGTGAAAAATCACGGAGCGCAGCTGCAGCCAGGAAAGAAAACACACGTACACAGTCGCGCGAAAATAGAGCAAGAGCAGGATTCTAGAGCGGGTAGTGGCTC